AGATGGCGACAAGAAAACAATTAAGAATGTTTATATTATCACTTTTTCGACAGCAACTTATTAAGAAAGCAAGCTATGTTGGTCTTATTGATCTTCCAAAATAAGTGATGTTTTGTTTGAATTCCAATTGAAACATAACAAACATCGTGTTGGTTCGCTTGTACCTTTGTATATAATTTTTTTCCTGTGACCAAACGAAAAGTACCCTGGTTGCCAGAGGTTCTGTATCTTTCGCCTTATTCCCGCTCGTATTTATTTTATGCGAGGACGAAGAGAACCTCTGGTGGCACGCGATACAAATCTCTCTTCCATGCTGACGTTGCTGTTTGAGAACTTGCAAAACCGGTTTTATATTTTGTGACGTTTTTAAACTTCCGGGTTTGTCATACTACCAAAATAGCTCTCTTCAGACTGTTTGACAAAATTTAAAACCTTGAACAATAAGCAAGTGACCAACACTTTATATTTTACAAATATTACTACTGTATAGAGTGAACATGTCATGCTGCGATGGCAGCTCTTCTCCAGCGCAGAAAATATTTTTATAGCGGAACAAATAACCCGCACTGAGTAAGCATTTTAAATTTAATACGTTCGTATTATTTCTGTATTTTGTTTACATCATGTTCTCTGAGATTTATAAACAGGTTTTTTTGTCTAGCCAATCACATCACTTCATGTGACTGCTAATTATAACTAACCAATCATGTGCTTGGTACAAATTTTGTACCAAAGGAAGAGAGATTTGTATCGCGTGCCACCAGAGGTTCTCTTCGCCTCGCGTAAAATAAATATGAGCGGGAATAAGGCGAAAGATACAGAACCTCTGGCAACCAGGGTAAACGAAAAGTAGCCGGCAGCTCATTCTGAAACCCGTTTTATTGCAGAAAGTTTTTCATTGTAAATACAATATATATAATATGGACTGAAGGAAAATCTTAAACATTGATTCACACTTGAAAACCAACATTCAACAATAATATAACATAAAATTTGTTTAACATATTTAATAGTCGTCCATTTTGGCATACAACGAAGGAAACTTGTGGCCGCAGTCTTTTCTCTGTGAGCAACAAATGCCCGGGGGTAATAACCTGATATTGACAAATGCCCGCCCCCCCGGGTGAACACGCAGCTGCAAGTGCCTGGCCATGGGGACAAGTAAGCGTACAAATGCCCCACACTGTCCGGGGGGAGGGGGAGCGGTAATCGCAGCTGGAATTGACTGATGCATAATCTGGGCGTTGCCAAAAAAGGCCTTCGCTGAAAACGTTTAATTTTGCTTTGTTTTTTGAGATAGTTGAATCCTTACTAACACAAGCTTGTTACCACTGGCACTAACTACGTTGGTTGATAATTTTTAATTAAAACCCTGCTTTTAATAAACCCCAGCAAATTGAGACATATGTTATATCTTTCATACATCAAGATTTAAACTATATCAACACAAGAACAAGCCCAAATACCTTAGAAGCAGACACGCCAGAGTATTTTCAACACCTTCTGAACAGGTTACGGCGCTGGTATCGAGGCGAAAAGACCATCACACTTCAAGCTTCAACCACGTGTTGTAATTCAGTAAGCTTCACAGAATAGCATCTTTTGAAGGAATTTGCAGCCCTTTTTTAACGGCTAAGAACACAAGAAAGTCCATTCTTTAAAGATAAGTGGTAATACTTGGATAAAATCGAAAAAATAAAGGTTTTAGAACGAATATTTTGATCTAAAACTCGATTTAATGTTGGCTTTTATTGAAGCTCTTTCGATTTCCTCGCCATTGGTAAAATCTGGTTATATCGTAGTTATATTGTAGCCTG